GGCAAGATCATCACAACTAGAAAATGAATCATTTTGGATGGTTATTTGAATACAACAAAGCACACAAAAGTTATCTGCTTAATGGAAGAAATGTTTCTGTCGAGGGATTTCTGAGGGAAACTAGATAATATTTACGTTGCGTTATATGAGAAAAATCACAAAAACTAACCATGTATCTAGCTCATTCCCCTAGGTTTGAACTACCAGCCTTCATCGGTGTAAACCACTCGGCCACTTGTGGTGCAGTTTAAAAGAAGAAACCGTAATTCTTTCTCTGTGGTTATCAGGATTACTTGATCTTCTAATCTGTTTAGGAAACATGTAAATGTCCTGAAAATAACAGGGAGCTTACTGGAAGCTATGTTCTGTAAATTTATGGATATAAAGACCAACCACTTGTGCCCTGAACGTAAGAATATAAGAACTACAAGCTAACTAAATTTAAATAAGAGCTAAACTCAATACTTTACACAGATGAATAACACTAAGATTGGCCTTTCAGATTTTTTACATATGTAGTACGTACACTGCGGAAAACTACAATACGTCTTAGATATCAAGAGGACTAAACCTCTGGCGGACAGCAACTAACTTGAAACGCGCGTGAAAACAAAGTGGCAAGAAGGTTCACACTCTCTAACTTTTCTTGGCGAAAAGCCACTACTTAAATACTTAAGCGTTAGAAAGCACAATTTGCATAAACAGATTAACTCGTTTATTCTGGCCGGAAGTGGAAAATAAGAGAGGACAGTGAAGTTTTAAAATAAAATACACGTTAGTAAAATTTAAGATCCTTATATAGTTAGATCTAAATTAATAGGTATTAAAAACGTTTTACACTACCTCACTTCCTATTTATAATCTAAATGACAATATTGGGAAACTGGTAGATAGCTGAAGCTCAGTTAAACATGTGGAAAATTCTGAGATATTAGAGATACTATAAGCAATTAAATCTTAAAGAAAAGTGAAAGTTTTGTTGATATGTTTAGGCACCCGCTTTCAGTGGATTCTCTTCTACGTCGATCTTATGCAGAATGATACTGCAGACATGATAGCCAAACAGGATTAGAGGATATCATATTAGTATTTCAAGCAGTTTTATTAAAGCTGAAACTTATATTACTGTAACATAGAAAATCTTCTTGTCTTCTATACCGATGTTAAGAGGAATAGGAAAGCCTGTGAAACAGAAGGGAAAAAATTACCTCATTCAAGGCTTTCAAAGGCAAACCTATGAATGCTGAATGACTAAAATAATATATTTTGTATAATCACTTTGATTGAAATATACTAAACAAATTTATCGCTGAATAGGTGTTGCATAAATCTTTTAAATAGCTCTGTTGAAATGAAAAAAAATATATAATATATATTTTTTAGAAAGTTATGAAATGAATAAAATGAGATATGTTAAAAACAAACAAAAAAAAAAAACTTCAGAAACCGAAATAAAAGTTTAAAGAGAAAGATAAAAGTGGGTTTTTGGATCGCAGCACCGTGGGAAATCACGAAATAAACAAGACTGTATGCTTACGACAGCTTTTGGCACACAGCGAAATGACTGCAGCTGTGATACTCTCGAAGTGATTGAAGAAATCAAATCCATATTCATGAAGTCTTCACCTGCAGTGCTAGCACTAATCTCTTGAAGAAAGCTTAAAAAAAGAAAGAAATCGATAACATCCGATCTGGTGAATAAGAACATCGCTTAAATTTGTTTCAAAAACCTTGCGTCAAGTGAAGGCCGCAACCGTAGGTAAATTATTCCGATTCGAACGCAACTTTTTTCCCTCCTATTCTTAACTTATTATTTTATTGTAATTTTTTATTCCTCCGCAAAAGAATTATTCGAAGAGCTATGCACAATTGGATGCATATTAATGCTTTCCGGTTAAACACTGTAAAGAAGCCCGAAAGCAAGCCAAAAAAAATATCCCCAATCGTGAATTAAAGACATGTCAATGAACTTTAAAGTATACAATTGCATGATGACTCCTTCTTTTCAGTTGCACTGAAAGATTATAGCTCAAATCACATAAAAATTAGAACGTCTTTAAGCATAGTTATGTGTGGTTCTTCCCATCTTAACCGGATTATAAAAAAAAATGAATTCAGCTATTCAAGTCCATTTTTACATTAATGAGACATCCCGAATGGCCGGATGGATAGAGATCTTAGTAATATGGCTAGTAATTTAGTCAAAGTTTGAATAAATTATTAACAATAAAGTAGAGAAGCTTATAGTAGTTCCACATCATTTATTTTATCTCTATCTGACGCAAAAGTATTTACTTAAAAAATATTATCGTTAGAAAATTATATATATGTATACATCTTTACTAGCTGTTATTTTGTAAATTCTGTCTATTTTTATGGCTTGTTAAGCAAATATCCTGCTTTTATTTATTACATATAAGCTGCCTAAGACGACTCCGTCATGTAGATATTATACTGTTAGCCAGCACCGAAATTGAAGTTCCCCAGGTTTCCCTGGCATACCAAAATGATAAAGTACTTTTATATCAGATTTCCTTATGCGCATAGAAACTGTATAATTATATTAAAATCTCAAAAATTGCTGATTAATAGTAACGGTGAAAAAATATTCGCTGGCTAATTGAATATGACCCAAAGCACAAGAGGGCTATCGAAGGCTTTGAGAAGGTATGCCTTAGAAGAGGTATTTCTATGGGAACCTCACTGGAATTCCGTTTACGTACATAATCACGAAAACCCGATCATGCAGCCAGCTCGTTTGCTAGGGTTCGCTAATTTTGGCAGCAGCCACAAGCAAAATCAAAATATCTAACTTTTTTTTAGATTTCTTTCTACTGAAACTTATCTATAACTTATTCATTTATTGCTATCTATTTCTGTTTACATGATTATTTCATTATATGATTTTAACTTGCTATTTTCGTTTAGAGTATCAGCTTGTTTTAAATTCACTGATGCCTGAAGCTGTACTGCCTTGTAATTTTCAAGACAAAGAACAGGACTCATATTTAGAATGCTTGATGACGTATATCCTAATACAGACTATAATGTAGGTACATGGAAAATTTTGAGTCAAAGACAAAAATATCCAACGTTGCACTCTTGTGTGTTCGAGAAACTTTTATCTTCTCATCATTCTACCAAATGTTTAGAAACTATTTCTACGAATAATCCGTCTTCAGTTTGTTTCAAGAAACATTAAATTAAACATTTTTGCTATATTTAATAAATTACAGCAAAAATTAAACAAATTGATAAGGTTGATGAGAAATCTGTATGTGACTTTTAATACATTATACTAAATGAAACAAATTTGTAAAGCGCCCGAAAAAAAATCCAGAAAAGGAATTTCAAATTTCATGAATTAAAATAAGTTTCCAGAAATTTTACATTACATTTTGGCATCTATGTTGCTTTTCTCTAATTTTGTATTTGAAATTAAAGGCCATTTTTCTTAATTCCCGCTTTAGCTACGTTTAGCTTCTGAGCATCTTATTTAATTGTTAGAAATGTATTAACAAGTACTTTAAGTAAATCTGACTGAAGTAAATATGACGTGTTAAACCAAGTGTGTATATATTTCTGGGGGATGGGAGCAGATTAAGGTAAATTAAAGTTAAGCAATGAATGACATATACTTTCGAATAAAATTGTGTTTAATGTTAAGCGCAAATTCTATGAAAAACAAGATAATATTTGCTTTAAAGCAATTGTGTAAAAATTATGCTACTTAAATAGTGGTTAAAGAGATATTTAAAAATGTTAATTTGCTAAATTACTTCGCCATATAAAATAACTCAAGTAGAAATTTAATTAAATAAAATAATCATTTATTGAACTAAGGATGTAAAAGTACATTAAGTAAATTAACTTACTGTTTCTAAGTGAATCATTACTTGAATTAATTCTATTTATTTAGAAATAGATCAAATGTAATTTCTTTTAAAATCTTTTCAAATATATGTTCAGATATCCCTCTTTTTCTTTCACCAGTCTTCGAAAAGTCCAGATTCCCATCGTCACTCTTCTGAAATACTTCCTTGTTTTAAACCACAAAAATCTGACGTATTATTAATCAGCGGATTGATGACAACAGCAAAAAATTATCAGCATTTTTATAAATGTGTTCCTCTCTCTTTTCAAGCCTAAAAATCGAGGAATGCTTTTAGAAAACTGCTTAACACCTGAATTCCTCTTGATCATTCCTTTTAATCTGCTGAAATATGCTACATATATAACTTTCTTCAAAATCCACTCAGTTTTCTCAAAATTAAGTTGGATTTAATCATGAACTGGTATTCAATTGAATTAAATTCTTGACGCATTTCAAAAAGCGATATATTCATGCCTTCGGATTTTATAAGCCTTTCGATTCTACAAATGCTTGCATTCGTTAAGCATCAATATTTTCATTCCTAATGATTCCTAAGGAAAAATTTCTTTTTTTTAACGTGTGTGATTGCTTTCAGATATTTCAGATATTTATATGCTACATTATATGAATACTTAAGAAGCGTAGATTAACAAGTACACATTGTGATAGTAGGAAAACGAAAGGGATGTTAAGTTAAAGGATGAAATACTATAATTTACCCCTAACTATTACTTATTTCAAGTCATTTCTAAAATCTGTACACTGTTTTCTATGAGCAAAAAAAGGCACGGGATGATAATTGGAAAATAAGAGGGAAAAGATCAAAACCTTCTTCTCAAACTTCTGAATTGTAATACATCATTAAGATAACATACACGAAGTCTTGTGCATGAAGATCTGTCCTACGAATAAAACAGGGTGAAAGACAAAGCTCATATGGTTTCGCTGAAAGCTCTGATTACAGAAGTCTTGTGAAAAGAAGAGCTATCATGGGAATTGTAGCTTTAATTTTATTAAATTTTTGAGTAATTCGGACTGAAAAATCCATTTTTGTTTCGGTTTCTGAAAGTAATACTTTACCAAGAGAAAAATTTAAGACTAAAATAAAAAAAAAAAATTTGCTTACCTGCTCTCTTGGACTGTTTGGCGACTGTCCTGTTTTGGAATCATACAAAGCTCTATGGAAGGGCATAAACTTGTGCCCCCTACAGGACTTGTCGTAAGTATCATCACACGTATCGATTTCTATCTTGTGTAACTCGATCGGGCATCCCGCCTCACTAGCCATCAAGATTTCAGACGTCACAACCTGACCTAGTGAAAGAGAAATCGAGAAAATGCTCATTAAAAAATAAGTCATTAACTGTGGCGTAAATAATTATAGTTGGCACGTCTAACCACCATTCAATTAATCTGACTAGCTGTAACATCATCTCAGATGTAGATAGTCCGATTCAGCTTTACATGACATAATAGCCTTCGGCATACTTCGTACAGATTCTTAAGCAGTTACTACAGTCGCATTAACAGGCAGATACGAAGAGTTAAATGGAAAGTAGACATTTTCCTTTTCATCGGAGATCTTTACATGAGACAGCGCAACTTGCTGTTGCCTGGAGCTTCATACTGTCTAAGCGTAATTATCATTGCACGAAAAATATTAATTATAAAAGGTATTTCTAAAAACCAATTTTTCTTTCTAACAGAAATCATTAATAAATGGAAGAAAGAATAATCTTTCTACTGAAGTTTCAAGTAATTTCGCAGAGTTTGAAGTTTCCACACTTATAAGAGGTAGGTGTAAAAAATAAATTAAATACGATATTAATTACCTCAGTTTCAAAATAACAAGTAAAAAATACTAAAGCGTTATATAATGTACAGTTGTCATTCAAGTCAATAAGTCTATTCATCTAAGTTAAAATAATGGATTATCATCTACCGTTTTTAGTTCAGATATCAGGTATAGAGACGTGAAAGACAGTAAGAAATATTGTAAAATTACGCTCGAGGCGAATCAAAAGCGGTATCTCTAAATAACCAAATCGGCATGCGTATTATTATTATTATATTTGTTTATTTTATACAAATAAAATGAAATAATAATAAAAATATTGTTTATTTGAATATGGCAAAGCACATGAGGATTATCTGCCTAAGAGAAGGGATGGCTTCCTAGGGAATTTTCTCAGGGAAATTCCGTATTTCAACTGCAATGGAGGAGACCATGCAACATTTATGCAGCCTGTCCTTTCCCTTGAGCTAGCTGAAAGGGCACTCGAGTCGAACTATGAGTGTTCTTTCAGCTACTCATAGGCTTGGATCATAAATTAATAGGAAATGTATAATTAAGCATGTTCTCCTTCAATACTTCCGTCTTTTTATATAGCTGTGAAAGATCTTTAATAACGAATAAATTAGCTTGTTACAGAAGTAGGGGATATTTATTACGATATAGAAGATTTACTGTTTCGCTGATTTTCATTATAAGCAAATCTCTTTATCAATCGTTCTACTAAATTTCAATATTTTTAGAGCAAAATTTCTACTATGTAGAATATTTTTATTTTTTTTTCACTTTGAAAGATAACAAAAATTTTTAAATATTTTACATTGGTAAGTTCTTGAATTAACAAACTGGACCTAACTGTATTTCAAATGAGAACAACTTCATGAAACATCTTCTGCTTAGGGAGTGTTTCATAATCGAATCTTTTCTCTCTTTATTTTAAGAGCATTCTTAAGGAAACAGTTTCTGTATTACATTTATATAATTTGTGCAAAGCAAAGGAAATCTAGAAGCGAACAGCTTATGCAAGTAACCTTGCATAACGCATCACTATTTCTGTCCAACAGGATTAGAGAATGGGTTAACCTTTGTACAATTCAAAATTCCAACCAAATAGTATCGCTCTAATTAAACTGAGAACACAGATGTCAGATAAAACGCAAATTTAAAACAATTTTTGCAAGAAAATTTCAAGGAAAAAAATTTAAAAGGTTTAAACTATTTAAATATAAATTGAATTTATTAATATTGGTAATAAATCAAATGATTCCAAATCTAAGTGACTAAGAATAATTAATCGTGGAAAAGCTCAAAAGTGATTTTATACAAATATTTTTAATGCGCAATAGTAGCCAAAACATGCAAATGAAAATTTTGAAGTCAAATTTTTTCTTAAACAATGTATAGTAGTGCATAAATATCGCCCAGCATCTAACGCTATTTCATGCATAGCCTTAGATGCTTACTACGTTTTATTTTTTGTAAATATATATATATATATATATGTGTGTATATAAGAAAAATAAAGAATATGTAAAAGATTAAATTAGCAGCTTAAATTCATTTCCCTTCTCTATTCTAAAAATAGCAACATCTATTTGCACTACGTCATTTCGAGAAATATCTATGTCATATGACTCTTACTTAATTCTGGTGATGTAAATTGAACTAAAACTCAAGCAGCCAATAATAATCTTACAGCAATATTAACTGTTCAATCAAAATGCCTCGTGAACCAAAACTAACTCAGTTTGACTTAAGATTTCATCCTGAAAATTACGCACTTTCTATCTACGCTTTGCCTTAGCTGGACTGCAGTTTGTCTGCGTCTTCTTTTTTGCTACAATGTTATCAAAAATGTAAGCCCTTTGGAACAGGCACATATAATGTGCCGACTTGTGTGTAGCCGCAACATGTTGCTGAAAATAAAACTGAAGATTTAATCTACCTTCGCCTCCAATTTCCTAGTCATTATGGATCAATACTTCTACGCCATCAAAATTCCTGCCACTGTATACATTATATGTATATATATATATCTTTCCAATGAAAAATGAGTAGTATACAACAGAAACTTTCCAAATCCTTAGGTTCAAATTTCGAAGCCGATACATAGAGAAAATTCAAACAAGTAAAAAATGATGATCACATGCGACAAGAAAGCTTCCGTTTAATGGCGGTTAGCAACGATTATTTGATAATATCTCCATGTTGATAAATGTTGTATAAATGTCTCCATGTTGATATGCCTTAGTGGTTGACTTTCTAAGATAAATTGGTCATTATTTCTGTTAAAAAAGAAAAAAATGTAAAAATGTCTCATGAAGTTAGCCAATTCCATCACCGAAAAAAAAAAAAAACCTAAATCACTAGTATTTTATTGTTTTTCAGTCGGTCTCTAAGCAGCAGCGACAGGGAGAAAAATAAGATGGCATATTTAACATGAATAGATGATCTCTCTGATCAATTATTAATGCATTTAATATACCTATCCTATATAGACAGCTGCAGATTTGTTGATTTCCGAAGCGTAACATTTTTTCTGCATTTTGTGTACTACACATTTGTTTTAAACTTATCTGTATGCTTATTACGTTTTACTTAAAAAACTTGAGCCGGGAAATAGAGAAAAAGCGATTTCTGACATACAGCATTAAATGTGTAAAGAACTGGGCCAATATTTCTCTGTGCTTTTGCGATGCAGCAGATATTACATCGGTAAGGGGCAGGTAAAAAGCCCTAAGCCTGTTGTGCTCTAAACCAGCGATTCTCAACCGGTTTTACACAAGAAAAAAATAGGTGGTACGCAAAAAAACAAAGTACTTTTTAATTAATTAATTTAAAAAATTTAACACCCAAATATTCTGCTTAAATGTTTTCTCTAACACTCGTAAAATTAAGCCATCTGAGCTTTGTTCAAGGTAAATAGTCGCTCACAGACTTCAGCAAAATAATCCTTTTTTATTTACACAAATAATATTCCTTTAGTCATGGACATAACAAAATTTGCCATAAATGTTTTTAAAAGGAGTAATAGAAATGGATGTTTTATTTAATTATAAATAAAAATAAATTCCTATAAAAAGATTTATTAGCATGTCTACACATTATAACGCCACCATTTCCGGGCTCATATTCCTCTATTTTCATTTAGAATCATTTTGCGATTCTCTGGCAGCAGGTATTTTTGTCTTCTTTTTGCTTTGTATTCCTTACTTTTCTACGCGATATCAGAATTGGTTCTGAAGAACACGTAGTATATTATGAAAAAAATAATAAAATAAACCTAGATTTTCAAAATGGAAAAATGTCTAGGATTGACCTAAGCGAAAAAGTGGTGATTCACAGGTGATGGACCCAAGACATCTACTAGCACTAAGAATAATGAAAAGAAAAGAAAAACTGTTTATAGAAAGTATAATGAAAGTTATTTATCATTTGGATTTACTTGGAATGGAGATGAAATGGATCCTCAACCTCAATGTGTTGTTTGCGGTGAATCGTTATCCAATCAAAGTATAAAACCATCGTTTCTTGAAAGAAATGTTCAATCTAAGCATGCCAATTTAAAAGATAAATCTGAAGAATATTTTAAGAGGAAATTATCGAAGTTCAAAAGTAGTAATTAATTAATGAAAAATTTTGTTACTTCAAGTGAAAATTCTCTGGAAGTTAGTTGCCATGATTGAGCAGACACACACTATTGGAGAAAGCCTCTGTTACCAGCAGCTAACGATATCGTTTTAACATTATTCAACGTAAAAGCTGTTAATGAAATCAATAATATTCCGTTATCAAATGATACAGTAAGCCATTTCATGAATTTTTCAACTAACAAATGATAAAACAACAGCAAACGAAATTTTCAAATTGACAATTTTAAGTCTGGGGATGATATTCCTTGTAATACGCGCATTGCCGTATGAAGTGATAGAGCTCGGGCTTTAACAAGAAAACATTCCAGTGATATTTCTCAAGAAAAGAAAGTCGCATCTGAAACTAAATTTAGTCACTGCTCCATTCATCATGAAGCTTTAGTAGCCAAAACAGTCCTAGAAAAACCTGAAAATCGTTTTCAATCAAGATGTGAAAATTGTCAGTTTTATTAAAACCGAAATTTAAATTCATGAATATTTACGATTTTATGCCAAGAGATCTGCAGTAAATATGAAACGCTTTTGTTATAGTTAAGTAAGATGGTTATTCAGGCGCAGAGTCTTTTTGAACTTCGATCAGAAATTCAAATTTTCTCCTGTGATTTTAATTTTTTCAAAATTTTAATTGAAAAAATTATGGTTGGCGCGTTTAGCTTTATTAGCCGATATTTTTGGAAACTTAAATGAATTAAATTTAGGATTACAAGGACAAAGTGTTAATTTGTTTACCATCAGGGATAAAATAAACGCAATGATAAAAAAACTCGAACTAATAATCAAAGAATTGGACAATAATAGTTTAAACATTTTGCCATTTTTAGAAAGTTTTCTACCCGAAAATAAATTGAAAAGAAAAGAACTAGCGTCCT